AGATAGTTCTGCATTAAAGGCCAACGATTTAGCTCGCCTCTCCTAATTCCGGGCCGAGGTTCGCCGCGTATTTAATCTCCGCAGCTCAATACGCTCGCTTTTCATGGAACGAGGGGTATCAATGAGGAGAGCCAGGAAACCCTCTTTGTCGGAGGTGATCACGGTCGAAGGAATTACGTTTCGCACGGAATTCTGCTTCGTCTTCTATTCTCGGCTACAGCTGATTCCCTAGACAGCCAATTCCGATTGGGAATACTTTTCCTCTCCATGGTTAACGCCCACACGAAATTGGCTACTGGGAAATCTGACAAGGATGATTCGAGGACCGGTCGGCTAACCGTGCCATCGGTCGGCTCCAGTCAGAGTAGGAAGAGGAAGCCTTTCTCGTCGGCACGACGAGCTGCGATCCACAATAAGACCGCCACGTAACCTCGTGCCCACCCAGAGTAAAAATTCGATCCTGGAGGAAACTCGTCGAGGATAGAGGAAACACATGAGGAGGTACATACAGGTATTTGATTTTTACATCCGTCGGGGAGCTCTCGATTCTACTGCCCTGCGTAAGGAGCATCCGAGATATAACTGATAGAGCCTTGATTCTCTTCCGATCGCTCGATGCGCGACGGAAGGCGCTAATAAATACCTGACCTCGAATCACGCACCTGATGAATTGAGAAAAGACCGCCCTAGAAGATGGGAGCCGGTACGAGGAAGATTCCCCCATGGGAAGAATCCCCCCGGACGTATGTACGGTATTATCGCATCGAATTTTCAGCTCACGCCCTCAGCCATGTCTGAGCTCGTGGCATGCGAGATGTTTTCCTCCGATGGGCTCGCTTGCTCCCCTTCTCCTCGTAAAATGGAATTTGTTGTTTGTCACTCCTATTTGTGGATAAATCGGGAAGAGTTCGACATAGCCACTCGAACCATTCAGACAAACAAGGTAGGCTGTCTCGCTGTGCTCTGTTCAAGTCGACCAACGAGGGGCTCAGATGTTTTCTCTCTACTCCGATGGAGCGAACGGGTCGAACGAAGCACTTCAAGTGGAACTGCAGTTTGTCAAGAGACTCGGTCGCTTGTCGCTGCTGCCGCCGTCGCCGTCGTCCTCCTCCCCCTACTCGGAAGAGACTCTTTGAGAATCACTGTCCTCTGTGGTCAGGCTGCAGCGAACGCACGCAATGAGCCGAGAACTGCCAAATCAACTTGTTTGCAATCAGACAGCGAACTCCGCTTCCAGAGGAGCAAATCAACCAGGAAACGAAGGGAACTGGCCTCCAATAAGTCATTTGGGAGTCTCGATTTCGTACGGATGATACTTCCTTGCTGTGTTGAAAATTTCCCCGAGTAAATTTCCTTATACCGTAGAGCTGGAATCCTGGATACTTCCGAGACAGCAGCGCCCCTACAAGCGACCCCTATGCTCGATGCGAGGTCTCTTGGAGCCTGAAACGTCCTCAGAGCTCGCTTCCGAAGGAGCTACGAGTCAGGCGATTTCGTATCCATTGAGTCTTCCGCTGAAGTCAGTGGAGCGACTTCTCGATTGGAATTCCGTCTTCGAGTGTGAGTAAGCCGATGCGAGAGTCGTTCCTCGTCAGCTCGTCTAGCTCCTCAAATGTCCCGAGGATGCTCGGAATCAGGGCAATGCAAGGAGAGGAATTCAGAAGCCTCCTTTTTCAGCAGTTATCACTTATTATCCTTGCTGTTTCTCATAATTTACAGATCATTCTGGAGCTCTCAGCGAGGCTTGGACGGTCGAGATTGGGCGGTCACGCTCCCAATACGATGATGTGGGGGAAAGTTCCAATCTACACTTGATGATGATCCATGTACATATTTCAATTTTCTCGTCAAAGGTATATTAATGAGCGTGCAAGTCTGGAGTAATTTTCGAACTCTGAAGGAGGCTCTGTTCGTTTGGAGAAAGCAATCCGGAGCTTCATCATGGCGCAATCATTATCTCACTCGGCTCACTCGGTCAGAGTCCAAATAATTGCTGCGACAGGAGAGCTCACGTCCTCTTTACTCTTGTTCCCTGGGAAGCAGTCTACGAAGTCAGCTCTCTTCGTCGTGGCGGTCTCTGGACTGGAGAGCTCCTAATCAGGATGGATTCCAGTGTTTTGCTAAAGGAGAACAGGAAGTTAGACTACTCTCCTCCCACCCCTTAAAAACCCAAGAACACGCTTTCGCAAGCCGAAACCTTGGAATATATCCTTCTTCTGTTGAGGTTGAGAGGGAGACTGTAGAAACGCGACTGAGAGCGGGTTTCGGAGAGCACTCGGATCAAAGGAGTCGTTCCGAGCGGTGCCGGAGCCGGACGGATCCAGTGCCAGACGCAGCGGAGCGGTGCGGGATTCCACAATTGGTCCCTGAGTTCCTCTATCTGGTTTTCCCGAAAACTCACAAACTCTGCTGCTGTAAATCTGAGAGGTCTGCTAGTTTCATGAAATGTCGCCGATGTGACAATAATCTTTCTCAGAGCGGAGAGATCCCATTGAATGTAGCAAACGGAGTACGGATTCTTCAGCGCTGTCCCCATACTGCTTCTCAAAAGAGACGACGAGTAGGGGGAGAGCATCCACCCTGAGTCGAAACCCTCCCTTGTCCCTCCACTCTCGTGTCTCTCATCCCGCGTATGATCCCAAACCCTTCAAATACAGTATCCGCTTCCTTCTTCCAGGTAAAGGCCTTGAGGATTTTTTCGTATTGTTTACATGAGCCCCACACTCCAGTCGAGTTTCCCATTCTCCTGGGACGTGCGTGAATGAGTTTTTTCCGATGGCTCTCCTTCCTCCTCCCAAGTTTTTTTCCCTCTGCACTCACAGTTCCATATGAGAGTTAGAGAGTCACCCCTTTGCGAGCTGTTTCAGAAGAATCAAGATACACGATTGCCCAATAGCCCAATACGATTCTCCCGTGGTATTCCTCCGCTCACGCATTACGGAGCCATCATCAGTTTGATATCCGTGGTTGCACCTATCGCTTCGCCTCCACAGGTTCCAGCCCCGGGAGTCCGGACTGTGAAGACTGAACCTTCATCATCGCTTATTATGCTGGAGTCTGCGATAGCCGCAAAGCATGACACGTGAAATGGCCCCCGTGGGCTCCTTCCAATGACAGTCTGGATTGGCGGAGTTTCTTTATTCGTTATCATCTCTTGCAGTCGCTCGTTATCGCAGAACAACATAGATGAGATCTTTCTTCGGGAACGAGAAAATCTGTTACAGCATGCTTCTCCTAGAGACGCCCGGTGTGAACAAGCGGAAAACTCAAGACATTGAATAAGGTCAGATATCCCGGGTCCCGTCCGACCGAATCAGTCTGGAAACCACGGTGCGGCGCGCCGTAAGATCGCTCACGAAGCGAAGACAGGTTCTGGGGACTGGGTCTGGAAATCGGAAATCGATCCGATTCGGCGTAGAATAACACTCAGCTTGAAAGGATGCTCAACTCTGTCGGTGACGAGAAAAGCTGTTCGGACGATGGTCGCGTTGCGATCTATCGAAACATGCATCAGGGTTGCGGGATAATCGCCACTAATTCTTCGACTGGAAGAAGACAAGCTTGTGGTGCACCGGATCTTTCTCTCGGAGCAAAGCGTCATCGACTCATGTCTTCCCCGAAACACCAGCTGTTCGAAACTGACGATGCAGGGAAATTTCCGAGATCCATCGTCTTTCCAGTATAGAGTGTTCGGGAATTGAGTTTGCCGCTCGCTCTCCAACGAAATGTGCAAACTGCACTTATGACGGAAGTTTCGGAATGCTCCGAGAGCATTCGCTCGATCGCGGCCTATGACAAGAACTTTCAAATGGACAGCCGGAACGCCGAGCACGAATGGGACCGTGTACTCTGATTCTCCATCGGAGCTTCGGCGTGTTATGCTCATGAGCATTGAACTTGCATTCGTTCCGAAGCCGTCAGGAGGCTGCCTAGTGCCTGTGTCCAAGAAGAGAAATCCTGTCGGCTGAATCCTGCCTTGCACAGTAAAGCATTCAACTCCTTGGCTCTCTCCTCGGCCAGGAGGCTTAAAACACTGAGAGAAAAATCTCAGAACGAAAGAGTTATTCACCATTACACACATCTGGAATTCCGACAACCAGCACAACATTCACATACATTAAGAAAATTAATGTTCCCCACGAAGGTCCTCTTCATTTCCCATCGGATGATGCGTCGAAGACGGATTCTGTCCTCCAGAAGCAGACGTTGATGAGCGCGGCGATGATGGAGTAAAACGAACTGAGCTGGGATACATTCGCGGGCTCCCGACATAAGACCAGGAAAAGTCTGCGACATCGGCAAAGCGTTTTGAATAGTTGTATGGAATTGAACAGCATACTTATACATAGCACAGTCGTTCTGCACACAATGAAGAACTTGAGAATTCCTTCTGAACAATTGCTCCCATTCAGAGGTGGTTATGCCAACGAACGAAAGTTCGGGACCGATCCCGGTTTCTTTTGAGGACGGTAAGAAACACAACAGACCTGACTCGGACCATCAATCGAGCTCTGCGCAGGCTCACAATCACATTCCTAAAATCTTGGTGCGGCTTCTCTCGTGTGGGGCTTGCGCTAAGAAATCGTCAAGGAAAGCTGTGTTTAAGACTTCGCCCGAAGCAGGTGGCGGTCGGGTGAATGGCGACACGCTCGAAACATTGGGAAGAGGAGCTCACCGCTGAGGGCGCCTAAGACCACCATAAAGCTCAGCCAAAAGATCGGTAGGATCGTGCGGAAGTTCTTCATATCGAATTGATCGAGGGTTGTATTGAAATCAATGTACCGACCCAAGTTCTCGTAGGAGACCGCTTGTCGGAATGACAGGCGATATTTCGCGACTTCGTCCCACTGCGGCTCCAGGCGCTTAGGTGACACTATTCCAGTCGCGAAGAAGCGATCTATAGTCGAGCTTGTTTTCGCCGAAACTAGATAATGTTGTCCCCTGAGACGGCTGTCGAAATATCCCCCGCTTCCTAATGAAGTCTGGAAGTACATCTTGTTCTGGTCGTAATAGTCCGACCGTGAGAAATCCGGCGCTATATTCGACTCCCGATGGAGAGGTTTTTTGATGAGTACTCGCTGTTGAGGACTCATGCTACATAGGCAATAATCCTGTGCTAGATCATTGACCATAACGAACTCCGAATAGCACACGAACACATCCTTACAGTTGTAAATATGAGTGCAGTCGATATTAACTTGCGGATTCAGGAGGAAAGCCATCATATCATTCTTGTATATTTGAGCGATGAAAAATGTCAAAAACAAGGCACTGCCACCCGCTATCAACTGACTAGATTTTTTTATGTCAATGCCAGCGTCCACAGCTGTGATGAAACTCAGCCAGAGTTTAGCGAAGATGCTACCGACGTCGCCCATATCCAACCACGACAGGAGTTTCGCGACTGTGAGCGTGCTCACGAGAACCAGGACCCAAACTCCTTTATCAAACGGTTTCAGCAAAGAAGACAGATCCGTGTCGCGCCACTGGATGAATGAGAAACAGCTCAGCTCATCGACTCGAACCATGGAGTATCGATACAGCATACTCAGCTTGAATTGTGTGTTAGCCTGGTCGCTGACAACGAAAAATGCGTTGATGACAGTATCATTGCAATCTATCGGAGCATGCATAATAACTTCGGGGTGATCCCCGTATTTAATCCTTTTATATTTGGGTAAGCCCGTGGAGCACCTCGTTTTTTCGTCGAAGCACTCATCCTCAGACTTGTCATCCCTCCAGAAAACCAGCTGATCGAAACTGCGGACGCAAAAAAATCTTTGGGACCCATCGGCCTTCCAGTAAAGGGTGTTCAGAAACTGGGTGGGCAGCCTTCTTTCCAACGAAATATGTAGAATGCACTTGTGACGGAAGTTCTGGAAAGGTTCGAGCGTGTTTGCAAGATTCCGGGTGATGACAATGACTTTCAAGTTGACAGCCAGAACGTCGAGGAAGAAAGGGACCATGAAGTTCAATTTATCGCCGAAGCCTTCTTCCGGGAATCTCAAGACAAGCATACTCGCGTTCGACCTGAAACCTTCCCTGAGTTGCCGAGTGCCCGTGTCCAAGATGAGTAATCCTGTCGGCTGAATTTTGCGTCGCAAGGCGAACTTCTCAGCTTCCATTACAATGCTCATCGCACTCCACGGTCTTTCTGAAGCGGTCGCGACGAGGAAGTCCACGAGGAAGACGAAAAGTCCCGGGATGCCATTTACGAAGCTTCTCGCCATCTACGAAGAATTACTCATCGTTCCGTGAGTTGACGCCAAAGCCAGGTCAGAGGTCGCTCGCATATCAGAGATTCCAGAAAGCATCCCGCTCCCGGATTATGTGTGTGCGGATTGACGGAGCCGTTTCAGAGACGGGAACATTCCGTCAATTCGGAGAGAACGATGATGAGTTTCGCGGTCCGAGAGGAGAACATGGTGAGCACGGGCTTTTTTCAATATCGACAAAGCTTGGGCACCGTCGCGGGCTTGCTTTCGACTTACGTCAAGTTGTATGCGAAACGGACCGCGTGGTTTTGCTTCATGAATCCGAGCGGACAAGCGTTTGTCAGTGGTGTCGCACCAATGGAAAACGTGAGAACTCCTCGTGGAGAACTACTGTCACGGAATGGTCGACATACGAGCAAAGGATTGCTCCCGATCGATCTTGCTTCCCTCGGGGACAGTACGGAGCTCGCAACGAGAGAACTGACTCCAACCATCCATCGATCTGAGGTGCGGAATGGGTCGTGAAAAAGATGCCCTTGGGATCGACTCGCATTTATTATGCACTGGAATCAGGTAGCCTCGAGATTGAGCTCGGGCCGACATCCTCTCTCCGACTCTCAGATATCCAGGCAGGGTTTGAGGTTCAAGCAGATACATCGAATGAGGCCTTCGCGGCCCATGTGAGAAAAGACAGGTACTAGGTGCTGGACCCATCACAATTCGTACTCGGGGACCACCCGTGCTGGCATAGACCACGCCATGAGTAGTTAAACCTTCATTTCGATAGTCGAGCATCGATGAAGGCCGATGTGCGTCCGCGAGTTTTTTCGAAGCCCGAATCGACAATTGGGATCGACGCAAGGTTATCCGATGCGACCATGTTTCCCCGAATATAAGTCCGAGTCTCATTTTCTCTCCACCCTCAGAAAGAACACCCGGGCTTACTTTCAGAGGGAGGAGGGTTTATTTTAATGAGTGAGACAAAATCTCGGTCAGCGAGGTAGGACTCCAACCATGGTCTTCACTCAATAACCTTAATATCATCCTCCCCTGCTCAATCTTCTTAGAAGTCCAGTGCTTGAAGACGTGTCGTCGCGTTTGAATATCCTTACGTTGCTTCGGTCCGAGTCGCCGATGCTTCATGATGTAGGTGTGAGTTCTCCCGCATGCGATTTCCGATAGAATGATTGACTTCGGAGGGTCCGATTGATCGCAAGGTCGAAACTTTGCGGATACCCGGTCCTTCCTGTGACGTTGATGATTCGATCCACGACGTATATATATAGGTAGGTATCTCGATGAAGCACCTATATATCCCCTCAGTGCTGTCGCTCCCTATGCGGCGCGGAATCGAGAAAATGAACGCTCCAAATCTGCAAAGATTCTGAACTGTGTATCGAGCATATGAGTTTTTACAGCACGAGGGTTCATTCTGACGCCGATTTCGAAATAAATCATTCCTTTGGGGGCCTCATCTTCAAGGAAACACGGTATTACCGGATTCGCTTCAGTCTCCCTCGCATCTTGTCTTTGCTGCCGTTCTCCCTTTCCGGCTTCTCGATTAAGCTTCCCTTCTAGCCTCCCAGTTCCGTGGATGGCAACTGCGCTCTAAGCGACTCCCGGTTCCCGCGCGCGTGCCCTCCGGCCGCTGTGTCTCCAACAACATTGCATCAGGGTTGCGGAAGAACTCCGACTTTTCTACAGTAGCGCCTCCGACCAGTGACGTACAGTGGAGCTGACGACACGTTATCATGATTTTCCCATTCTCTGATACCCAATTGTGATGTGGGGAAGTGGGAACGCTATCGATACCCGAGGCTTTCGTCCCCGGCTCACGTCCCTGTGAATCCGGATCTGAATTATTTCTCGTTTCGGGTATGAGGTCCCGCTCACGTATGTTTTCTCTCTCTCTTTTGTGAGACCCGCTTGGCGAGACAGGGACCTCGCGTGGATCGACCGGTACTGGGAAATGCTGTCCGTGGTACTAGGAGACATTCATTTGGATTATATGCCGAGGCCGGGTCGGTGTAGGGGTGCCATACATCGGCTCGAGGGAGTTTTCGGCTCATGTCGCTGCCACAAATGGCATTTTGTTGCTGCACGGCGCCTCCGATCTCAGTACCCATAGCGAACCGGTACAATCACTGTCTCTCACCCCTCAAGCCCTCTCCGCAGTGCCGATGTGTGGATGGTGTAGTTCAACTACAGTACTTGCCACAGAACAATCAACTAGTCGGGAATCGCGCGGTCTCACACTTTCACGTGGAGAGACTCGTTCATTTGAGAGGACGATGCAGATAGTTTCACCCTCCTTGATAGGTCAAATGACCTGTGTTACGGATGTGAGCGTTCGCTGGCATTCAAGTCGAATAAAAAGTTGACTCTCGATTCGGGATGAAGGATTCGAGAAGTAGATACAGACTCTGGTAAGCGCGCCGACAGCATCCCGTATGGAAGTTATCCGGAGTGAGCCCGCTCAAGTCTCAGAGCTCGTCCCGCCTTGCGTAGGGACATGGAGCGCCACGCCAAGAGCGGTGGCACAATCAAATGGGAGGATTCGCGAAAGACAATGAATGTGCGCTCGAGAGGTCGGCATTGAGATCGAGCACCGGACGCGAACTCTCGTCATTTGGCGGCTACCAATCGGCCGCCTCACCTACGATGTCGAAGCTGGTCGGCGCAGACCTCACCGTGTCTCTCTGCTTTCGCTCTTGTTGCAAGTCATTCTACGGAAATCCATAGGCTACCCCTTCTAATGATCCTCATGAAATCATGGACTCAGATGCCCAGAACGATGCCATCCCTGGAGGAGCTCACGGGGAGAGAATTCCGAGCAGCTTGAGAGCCTCACGAAAAAGCTCGAAGTGATTCGGTGGACTCAACCCACTCCGTCCGATCGATTCTCGCCTCCCTTGGCGCTCCAATGAGCGTGGATTTCGATCTAGGGTCGAAGCATTGGTCTCCCCATTGCTCGACACGCGGGAGTTTCACTCATCCCTTGAAAAATGTATAATTTACGAAAGATGTGTCATGTGTGACATTTCTGAGCATGAGACGGATGCGGATTCGCTCGTCCTGAGCGATGCAAAACTTGCAGAGAGGTCAAGCTGACGATGTCGTGGGGAGCGGAGGTTCCCACCGGGACTCGTAGCAAGAAGCAGCGCAGATCACTATGAAACAACCCGTGAAAATTGGTAGCAATATGCGGAACCTCCGCATATCGAAAGCATCCAGTTCCGTTCCGAAGTCCATGAACTCTGTCGATCGCCTCATGTTTTCCTCGTCGATTTTCCGTAAGAGAGACCCGAAAGTCGAGCTCTGGATGCGTCTGATTTCTTTCCTCGAAGGATTTAGGAATGGGCTCGATATGAAGCCAGCTCTGAAAAACCGATTCACTGTCGAGCTCACCCTTGATGATACCAGCACCAGTTGACCTCGCCGGCCATGAACAGGCCCGGGTTGAGCGTCTCTCTGAAGGTACATCGAGTTCTGGTTTCGACCACGTTGTCTCTTCAATATTTCCTCCACTTTGTACGTTCCTTTATGGAGGGGTTTCCCTATCAACGATCGCTGTGCTTCGTTCATACGGCAGAGACAGGTCCCGAATGTGAGATTTTTCAACAAAACAGTTCTCGAATAGCAAGCTAGGAGATGCCGACAGTCGTAGCCTCTCCCGCAGTCACTGAACTTCTGCGGCGTGACGAAGAAAAATGTTATAAAATTCGTGTAAACTTGAACGACGAAAAAACACAGCACTACTGAACATCCGGCTGCAATCAATTGAGAATATCTCCGAGGCCCCGTTTCGGGTTTTTGCACTGTTAGGAATTCCATCCAAATTCGAACGAGAGTTTGTAAGAAATCCCGTGCTCCGAGCAGGGAAACCATTCTTGCGACGATTACGGTGCTGATAACGATGGTGAGCCAAACTCCCCACGAGAACGGCTTGACGAGAGCCGAGACGTCGGCTTCGCGCTTGGGGATCAGGGAGAAACAAGCTAGGGAAGTAGCTCTAGGGAAGGCTGAAAACTGATAGAGCATGCTTTTCTGGAAAATATAACGAGCCCTCCCGGTGGCGAAAAATCGTGTGGCGAACGTCGTGAGGTTGGCTTTCAGTCTGACATTGAGGTGTACTTTCGGCGATTCACCGATGATTCTTTGGAAAGAGAACGAGTCAACCGACCACACGGTTTTGCTTGACGAGCACGCTGACAACAGGACGTCTTTTTGCCAAAATATAAGGTTATCGAAGCTGTCGACACAAAAGCATTCAGAAGTCCCGCTCACGCTCCAATGTATTGTGTTCACTGTCACGGCTGCCCTTCGCGGGATATCCGCTCCCAGGTGGAGATGCAGCAAAAACTTATGGCGGAAGTTCTGGAAGGGCTCCTCGGCATTCGGAAATTCTGATGTTATCACGACAATCTTCATGTCGACCGCCAAAACATCCAAATACAGAGCTACTTCTAGCGATCTCCCAGACAACTTGGGGGTATCGGTCTGCACCAGTAAGCTGGCGTTCGTTGTGATACTTTCACCCGGGGCGGTCGTGGCTGTCTTCAAGATCAGCAGCTCCGTCAGTCGAACACCGCGCCCTTCAGCATACACCTCCACCACTCTAAAAATGCTCACTGGGTTTAACTCTCCGATGTTCTCACACCTCATAGCATCAGTGGGGAAACTGATTAGGATTGCTGTCGCCACACTGAACAGCATTTGGGGGAAGCAACAGATGCCCTTGAACATCTGCGGAGAACGCTCCTCGGAGCCGCGTACTTCGTCAAGCTTGCCAAGGCCGAAGATGACCTGTCGGCGATTATGCTTCATGGTGGCTCGAAGTTCCTCTTTAGACGTCAGCCCGCGAAGGGTAGGGGGGGGGGCGGCACGAATTACGTGAAATATTGTAGCTTCTCTGAAGCTCCGCGAAAGCTTTCGACCGCTCGTAACAAGAATTTTCGTCTCGCTTAATCGATTCCGAGAGCTTGTGGAGTCTGGAGAACACCAATTTCGACTTC